GAGATAGAAAGTCACGTTTGTGGCAATGCCGAAGTACATTAAGTGTCGTAAGTAGTCATAATTGGATTTTACAATGGACTTCGGCTTTTGGTTTATCTACTTGTAGGTAAGTATACATTGTAGTCTCACGCAAAGACACTCATATAAATACCAAATCTCTAAGCTGCGCGATATCAAATGAACTTTCTCTGCAGTTGCCGCAAAACTTAGTGCTTGTTGGCGTAATGGTTTGTTTTGCAACATTCGATTGCAACACTAGAGACCTTACGATCCAACAATGGCAATGGCAACGTGAGAAGTCTGGGTCATGCAGGGCATAGTTAATAGAGGGGAATAGTTATGAAACCCAACAAATTACTTTGGTGTTTTTTGGCCTCGACCGTGTACAAAACACACTAGTTGTTTACTCCGTACTGAGAAACGAGCCAATAGAAACATTTTGGTCACGTAATTCACGCATAGTGTATAAGCACAAAAGAAAAGGTTGTGCACGGTCATGGACCTTCTAAGCTGAATCTTGGAATCTTTGTTTGCTCCTTTGGTGTTTGCCAGGCTTCATAACCATTTCCCTCAGTCTATAAACTATGTGCGAGGCTATACGTCACGTTGGCCCTTCCAACAAAATTGAGATTACAAAATTTTACGAGTGAGAACAAGGACGACGGCCATTGTTCATGGTGTTGTTAATTTTTAAACCATGGCAAAGTTTTGTGATCGGCACTATTCTCCTGGCTCATGCTTCCCGTTTAATTAATGCTGAAGAATTTGTGCTACTCTATGATTTACACAAGCCTTAAAATCGAGATTTACCTTATACAAACGACAAGTACTTCAGCCTGAACAAGATGACAGATGATGTAAACTAATGTCGCTTAATTAGTAAACAGTTGAATGCCAACATCTTTCAGTTATGAATACAGTAATATTTGAGGTAGTCAGGAATTCGTCGATGGAAGTGTTTAACGTAGCCAGTGAGGTCCTTAGTATGAATGACAATTAGATGAATGAACAGAAATACACTTTGAATCGGTTGAATCCAGTACCGTTACTGACAAAATCTTTTATCTTTTCTAGTAAAACCAAAATAAAAAATCAAGCTTAATTTGCTTTAAAGTGCCTATAGAGTAAAAAAATAATTGCTGCTCATTTGAAAGGCTTTTCAGAGTAAAGGAGAATGGCATTTTCCTTTTTGAAATGTCTTTTTTCGTTTTAGTGATATTTAAGTTTTTGTATTATGCAAATGAGGAAAGCGATGATGTCATAAGTGGTTCCACTAAAACAGTACAACATTCAATCAAGAATATGTCTAGAAATATTAAAGCAGTGGTTTTTAAACTTGGCACCGGAAATGTTCATCACGAAAGAAACAAAATGACACCCATGGTGCCGTTGCCATGGCAACAGTCATGCCGCTGGTCCTGAACCGAAACAAAAAACATTTACACAAGCACTTTTCCTAATACTTTAACTCATAAAATGGCTAAAAATCACGAGATAAGTGTATATTTTTCGACAAACACGATCTTAGCTTTATGTCACGCACTACTATAACTCCGAAATTGAGAATGCGCTGGTTTCCAAACGAAGGATGCTATTGAGCTGGAAAGTTGTAAACAG